CCAACAAAGGCGGCGCCCCGCAGCCCCGCCGCCGCCGCCATCTTGGATCGGCCGCCGCGCCGTGACGGGCGGGAAGCGTGGAGCCGCCGGTGGCGGTATGAGGGGCGAAGGGAACCGCGGGCGCAACCGCCGCGGCCCGAATGGCGCCTTGACTCCTCGCCGTCCCCGCGCGGGGTTGAGGAGCGACGGCGCTTCACGGCTTGAGTAAAGCGGCGACCCCGGGAGCGTTGGGTCAGCGCAACGCAAAATCGTGTTTTTAACCTTCGTTGTTACCGTGTGAGGTCGTGGAAGGAGGCCGCAAAAATGGAAGCGTTTGCTTCACGGAACGACGCGGCCGAGGCGGCTCACGGCTCTGCGTGCGAGTCAGTGCTGCTGGAGCAGCCGGAGCTGCTGGGCGATGGGCGCAGGAGGCACGGAGTGCAGCGCTGTGCTGTGCAGTGCAATGCAGTGCAGTGCAATACAGTGCTGTGCAATGTGGTGCAGTGCAATACAGTGCTGTATGGCCATGCTGCAGCCTGCCCACCTGCCAGGCCCACGCCTGGCTCCCGCAGCAGTGTCAGCACCCTGCAGGCTCTGCTCCCCTGCTGCACTCGGCAGCTCTGCACGCGCTGTGGATGCTCAGGCTGCGCCTCACCTGCACTGCCGGCACCCTGCAGAGCACAGTGCAAGCTGAACTCAGAGCTGTTCCTGCTGTCAGACTCTGAGCTCACAAACCCCACGCTGGGAACACAGTGAGCCTGCAGTGAGGAGCACGAGGTGGGATTTGCACACTGTGCTTCACCCCCAAACTTAAAGAATTGCCACCACCGCGTGGCATCATCAAACCGGGAGCTGCAGCGCCTCCCTGAGCAGCAGGGGCAGCTGACGAGGCCAGGCCAGGGGTGAGCCAGGGATGTGGCTCTGCTGCTTGGTGACCCTGCCCACAGCAGGGGGTTGAAACCAGATGGTCTTTGAGGTCCTTTTCAAGCCAGGCCGTTCTGTGGTTCTATGAAGGAGAACGTGATGAAGGGAGAGGAGGTCTCTGCCCATCTGAACCCTCACTAACCACAGGCTGCAGCCCAGTGCCTCCTCAGCTTCTTCCCTGTCCCTCGGCTGTTGGACGTTTCCATTTCCTTCCCAGCTCAACCTTAAAGGCATTCTGTAGCTGCAGCTCCGCTCTTAACCTGCGACTCATCTTGGAAAGGCAGTAGGGATGAAGCTGTCCCCTATTTCTGAACTGCTTGGGTTTGCCTGAAGGTGAACAATCTCAGTGCTGAAATTCAACCCTGCTGCGAGAAAAGGAAATAAATTGAGGGGGAAGTGCAGATTTGCTGCAGATGAAGGTTATTTTAAGCGCTGACGTGGCCCCGCTTCATTTAGAGCCATCATTTCATCCTCAGCCAAAAGCTTGCTTTGTCCTCACCAAAACAGTTGTGAGTTTTCTGAAGAAACAACAAACCCTCACCTGAAATAGAAAAGACGAAGAAGCGAGCAGCTCTTTTCTTTGCTCGTTTGGACGTGGCATAATTCCTCCAGGTAGATGGACTCTTCTGACACTGCATTTTCTCCAGACATCATGATAGCATTCCTGCAGCCACTCAAAAGTTCATCCACTCTGAACATCTCCTCTCTGATCAGCACAGCCTCAGGAAACTGAATTCAAATCCTCCTTTCGTGCAGCTGCAGGTGTGACCCATGGCTGCTTCTACTGCTTGCCACCTCCCAGCACATCACAAGTAAGATTGTTGTGTGCACAACACGCACGAGTTGGAATTCCAAGCTAAATAACATCAGACATTTGCTTACAGGCACCACTATGGGTTGCTCACTGAACGCTGCAGTTATTGAACGGGAAGGAAAAACAACACTTGGCACAGGAATGCCCATTTCTTTTTTCTTTTTATTTTTCATTTTATTATGGGACACATGAACACAAAATATCCCTGCAGGCTAAAAAAAAATAATAATAATAATAATAATACATTGCAAATTGTACACAACCAGCATCTCATCGCAACATGGGGCCGCTATCCCACCCAGAACAGCTTCAAAGGAGTACCTCGTATTGCTATAGACAAACACCCAGCCCAAAGTTAATAAAATACCAGTTTGAACATTACGAGTCTAACAATATAGAAACGAAAAGTACATCGTAGGTCAAAAGGAACAAATGCAAACATTTTACACTGAAGTTTCAGCCTCTAGACATAGAAATATGAAAACGCCAATAGCAAGGTATAAGAAAACCTGTAAGTGATATCACAAGATCTTTCCTCAAATGCACAAGGAAAAAACCTTGCAGTTGAAACAGTATTGATACAATGCCCTCCAAAGCCCGCCTTCTTAAAATGAAAGCAGAGCTTACTCCCTTGCTATTGAGCAAGAAAAATCCTACAGCACATCCACAAAGGTAGTTTGGGGGGTAGGTTCTGTTGAACGCCATCTGAACAAACGTGCCTTCACCAAGTGAAGAGCAAAGCTGTTGGGACAGGGCAAACAACTCTGACACTGCGCCTGGACAAGGGAAGCGCTGCAGGAAGCAACGTGCCTGATGTCAGCACCTCTGCATGCCCTCTGGATGCAGCTCACAGCAAGGAGAGATAAGCCAGGCTGTTGGAATGGTGCAGACAGGCAAACGAGCGACTGCCAGAGCTTGTTCAGAATTCAGCTGTTCACAAAGCAAGCAGAACTGGTTTGAACATGGGATTTCTGCCTCCCCCCCCCCCCTTTTTTTTTTTTCTTTTTTTTGTATTAAATATCAACCATCCCCTTCCCCAACTCTTTAAACTTTGCTACATTTAAAATCCTCCACACCACATAGCTAAACAGTGGCCAACAGGCTTTATTTATAAAAAGAACAAAAACGAAACAAAAACACCTTAAAACTACACCTACAGAATGCACATCTTCCCATTGATTGACACATGCATCACAACTCAGATCACCAAGCCCAACCTCCAGACTCAGCTTTCAGACCTGCATAGGACAGTATTGCCAAAACTTGGATCTCATCACCAAGCAGCAGTCCTGAACTTCAGCGCTCCCTGCTCCAAGTGACAGCACTGCACCCTTAGCAGAATCCTTTTGTCTTTTCTTTGCAGGGGTGTTTTAACACCAGGCTGAGTTTGGCTTCTCGCTGTGCTTCCCAAGGCCAGCTGAGATCTGACACAGCATCACAGAACGGTCGGGTTGGACGGGGCCTTCGGGCCCCCCAGCCCCCACCCCTGCCACGGGCCGCTGCCCCCAGCTCAGGCTGCCCAGGGCCCCCATCCACAGCACCTCCAGGGATGGGAATCCCCAGCAACCTGCACTGCCTGAGCTCAAACGCCCAGTGCAGTCACAGGCAAACAGAAGAGAGGCTCTCGCTTGGCTCCATCCGAACTGGGAGCGCTTGGCACCGGACAACAAACCGCCTGGTGATAAAACTCCACACATCTCCCTCGATGAAACCAGCCCCCTTCCTGCCTAGTGCACAAACCCAAACAGCCGTCTTTGATCCTAGAACTCAAAAAGGGTGCTCAGCTTCTTTCCAAGGTGCCAAAGTTCTCCACGTGTGTTGGGTCAGTCAGAGTTCATTCCAAAAAAGGGGGTTTTTTTGGTATTCTCCCTGAACGAGTACTGAGAAAGCAGCCATCTAGCTGGAGCAGCGGTCAGCCTCCCACCCACATGTCCTGATTTTATTACACAAGTGAGGTATTCTTTAAAAATAAAAGCAAAAAACGAACAAAAAAAAAGCATCTTTTTCCAACCTAAACTCATTGACTACACGTGCCAGGAGCAGAGTTTGCTTCAGTCCCATCTGAACAGAAAAAAAAACGTTTAAACTTAATTGAATGAGACATCCTATCAGAAAGAAGGTCATAGAACCGTTTGAAGACTACGTTCAGTGTACTGTGGTACAACTGAAGAACAACCAGCATTTAGAAATGTAAACTTCCATTTATTTACAAGCTTAATGACCGAAGGAAACAGCATTTCCTATTGCTGATCTGAGGGGCCGGTTCCTCAGCTTTGGAACAGCAGACAACTTAGCAGCAAACCCCACGCAAGCATCAGAGACCACAGTGCAACGCTGGGCTTCTCACACTGTGATCCAAGGAGTGGCGCCAGCTCTACTCAGCTTAGGAGCACGCTGTTAATCTGTGCTCATTAACGCTAATTAACGCTGAAGAGGAACCTACTCTTCACGCTCTACCTTTACGCATCCCAAAGGCAAAACCAAGCCCCTCTTCACGGCACACTGCAGCTGAGCAAAGCCAAGCAGATTTTACAACCCTAATTTCTACAGGCTGGGACGGAAGCGGAATAACGAGACTTAGGGTGATTAATGGTGCTGCTGAACGCAGTTGTGTGTGCAACCCAGAATCCCAGGGGAAGAAGTTTGAAATGCTGGTACAAGTCCTCAGGTTGCCTGTCACACAACACGGCGCACTGCCAGCTTGGCAAGCCTTTCCTACGCGTAACACCCAGCTCCAAACCTACACAAAAAGCTGCGGACAGGACACCAACAGTGGATATAAAGCAGTTCAAAAGAACTCTTCAAGGAAAACAAAAGCATGGAAGTGCGTCTTTTCTCATCAGTTTTCAGAATCTGCCAAATTGTGTGCTCAGAAAACGACACGAGAACGTGGGGTCACTCATGCACAACCCTCAGCTAGAAAATTACACCGGTGGGG